TTTTTTTTTTTTTTCACTGTGCATCCTAAAAGATGAGATTTCTCATATTGAACTTTCAATGTGTTAAAAATATTATAATGCGATCCTTTTGTTAGCTTTCGTTGCTTATTTCGTCAAAATCAACCATATTGATGTTGACTGAATAAGTAACGAAAAATAACAAAATGGTCATATTATATGACTTTTAATACATTGAGAGTGTAATATAAGAAATCTAATTTTTAAGTGTATAACATAAAATTCTTAAATCTTTCAGGTTACAAGATGCAATTCCCCCTCACCCTTATACTGTTGAATTTTTTTACATTAGCCCACAACTAGTTGAATTTGTTTACCTAAAAATTAAACGTCTGTTGTGTTTTTGGATGAAAAATGTTCCAGTGTGGATTGATTTAGGGATGAAGTGAAGCAAAATCACATAGTTTGGGGACAAAGTGTCATAATTTTCTATCCAATTTGTAACAGACATCCTAAATTGGGGCAATATAAAGTACATAAATGTTAGACATTTTAGTGTTTTTGTAATATTCTGCAAGTTACATAATGGTCAAGGTTTCATAGGTCTAGGATAGTGAATCAATGAATTGGTGATTCCGATTGAGCAGGAAGTTGAAGATGGTTGAAGCACTTTGAATAATTCGCTGAATTTATGAGGCTAGATTTTATTTAACTGGATTTATTAATCAATTAACCTTGACTAACGAGATCATATTTGTTAAAATATTGATTACTGTAATTGATTAATTCCGTGAGCTCAATGCATGTAAATCTCAACTAAATCAGAGATTATGAAGCTATAAAGAAGAAGACCGAAAGTAAAGAAGGAAGATGAAATCCAAGCTATAAAGTCACATGTGAAGACTTCACGGAATCCTTCAAAACTTAGGAAAGGTTGATCTAGAGACCTAGCTTACCTTGGTATGTTTGCTTTAGTTTTCTAGGTTAATAGTACTTGCATTTAGGATGTGCTTCATACATGACTCTTGCCCTTTTTTTTCAAAAAGTTTTAATCTTAAATGTTGTTTCAAAAACCCTAATGGAGTCATGAAATGGACCATTGTTGAGCAACAACACTTGTTGTTCATTAAGGCAAGTTTTTATATGCGTATTAGGCTTTAAAATTTGTAGGGACCACAAGAAGTTAATTGGCCTACAGCTCGAGCAATCTCTTAAACGGAAAAATTGAAAAAAAAACTAGAAATATAGATAGTGGCCATCGCCAAATGGCCTCTCGAGCGACTTAGCTAGATGAAGTGACCTTGACATTGCTTGAGCGGTCCTTGTTCATGAGGTTTGAGATTGATTCTTTTGACATTCTAGTGATCATTGCTCAATGACCGCAGACTCACAGCTTGAGCAGTTCCTTGTAAAACTGAGTTTTCTTTTTCCCCAATTAAACTCTATTTACATGGCTTATATATATAAGCATGTCTTTTCTCATTAGGGCAAGTTTCTATAACATGAAAACAGTCTCATCTATCATCTAGAGAGTCAAGAACAAATTATAGCATTCTTAAGCATCCATAGGCCTTAAATTTACCAAGATCAATCTTGTTTTACACTTTCAAAATTTAAAGAAAAGAGAGATCTAGTAGAAACCCACCAA